AAAAAAAAAAAAAAGAATCCGCCTGCCAACGTAGGGGACACGGGTTCGATCCCTGGTCCGGGAAGATCCCACAGGCCGCGGAGCAACTAAGCCCGTGCGCCACAACTACTGAGCCTGTGCTCTAGAGCCTGTGCGCCACAACTACTGAGCCTACGTGCCACAACTGCTGAAGCCCTCGCTCCTAGGGCCTGTGCTCCACAACAAGAGAAGCCACCGCCATGAGAAGCCCACACACCGCAAAGAAGAGTAGCCCCCGCTCACCGCAACTAGAGAAAAGCCTGCGCGCAGCAACGAAGACCCAACGCGGCCAAACATAAATAAATACAATAAAATAAAATAAATTTTAAAAAAAGGTGAGCTCTATTCTGACCTTCTGAACGCTGCTAGTCGGCGTCTTCCCAAAGAAGGTACCTGGGGGAGGTGTCACAGCGGGAGGTGGATGTCATCACAGAGTCAGGGTAGGAGCAAACAACCAGGATGTAACGAAAGAAGACTGGTTCTTAATTCACTGACTGGTGACATCTTTTCAGGTCAAAGACAAGGAATGTCAGTGCACCTTTCAGGACTGTTCTCTCCATGGGGGAGTCACGCTCACTGTCGAAGTAAATATCAACCAAAGACGAATTTCAGAAACACTGGTCTACCTGAACCCAGGTAGGGAAAACGTGGTGGTGATTTTCTCCTTCCCACATGAGCATCAGGGTACATTCCCCCACTTTTTTCTGCTATATGGAGATAGAATTGACACATAGGAATTGCATATATTTAAGATGTACATTTGGTGTTTTTTTGGTTTTTTCTTTTTTAATCTTTTTGGCCATGCTGTGCAGCTTGTGGGATCTTAGTTCCCAAACCAGGGATTGAACCTGGGCCAGGGAATTCCCACATATGGTGTTTTGATGTACATATACTTTGTGAAATGATTACCACAATTGAGCTATTAACGTATCCATCCTGTCAAGTAGTTTTTTTGTTTGTTTGTTTGTTTTGTGGTGAAAACCCTGGAGATCTACTCTCTTAGTGAATTTCAAGTGAACAGTCCAGTATTTTAACTATAGTCACTATGTTGTGCGTTAGATCCCTGGAACTTACTCATCTTATAGCTGGATATTTGTACCTTTTGATGAACATCCCCCCATTTCCCCCACCCTCCCTAGCCCCTGGAACCCCCATTCTATTCTGTGTTTCTGTGAGTTTTCTTTAGATTCCACATATAGGTGAATCATATAGTATTTGTCTCTCTCTGTCTGACTTATTTCACTTAGCATAATATCCCCCAGGTCCATCCATGTTGTTGCAAATGGCAGAATTTCCTCCCTTTCGTGGCTGACTAATATTCCTCTGTGTGTGTGTGTGTGTGTGTGTGTATGTGTGTGTGTGTGTGTGTGTGTGTGTGTGTGTGTGTATCACATCTTCTTTATTCATTCATCTGTCCACACAGACACTTAGTTTATTTCCATATCTTGGCTTCTGTGAATAATTCTGCAGTGAACATGGGGGTGCAGATATCTCTTCGAGATCCAGATTTTATTTCCATGGAATATACACTCATAAAAAGGATCGCTGGAGGGCTTCCCTGGTGGCGCAGTGGTTGACAGTCCACCTGCCGATGCAGGGGACGCAGGTTCGTGCCCCGGTCCAGGAGGATCCCACATGGCGCGGAGCGGCTGGGCCCGTGAGCCATGGGCGCTGAGCCTGCGCGTCCGGAGCCTGTGTTCCGCGAGGGGAGAGGCCACAGCAGTGAGAGGCCCGCGTACCGAAAAAAAAAAAAAAGGATCGCTGGATCATATGATAGTTCCATTTTTAATTTGGGGGGGAATCGCCACACTGTTTCCCATAGTGGCTGCACCAATTTACATCCCCACCAACAGGGCACGAGGGTTCCCTTTTCTCCACATCCTTGCCAACACTTGTTATTTCTTGTCTTTTTGATGAGAGCCATTCTGACAGGTGTGAGGTGATACCTCATTGTGGTTTTAATTTGCATTTCCCTGACAATTAGTGATGTTGAGCATCTTTTTAAGCACCTGTTGGACGTTTGGATGTCTCCTTTGGAAAAACGTCTATTCAGATCCTTTGACTGTTTTTTAATCAGATTATTTGTTTTTTTAAAATTTGTTTTTTGCTATTGGGTTGCTTGAACTCTTTATGTATTTTGGATATTAACTCCTTATCAGATACATATGGTTTGCAAATATTTTCTCCCATTCCATAGGTTGGCTTTCCACTGTGTTGATTGTTTCCTTTGCTGTGCAGAAGTGTTTAGTTTGATCCAATTCTAGTTTTCTACTTTTGTTTTTGTTGCCTGTGCTTTTGGTGTTAAATCCAAAAAATCATTGCCAGGACCAATGTCAAGATGTTCTTTCCCTCTGTTGTCTTCTAGGAGTTTTACAGTTTCGGGTCTTATCTACTTTTGTTTTTGTTGCCTGTGCTTTTGGTGTTAAATCCAAAAAATCATTGCCAGGACCAATGTCATGATGTTCTTTCCCTATGTTGTCTTCTAGGAGTTTTACAGTTTCGGGTCTTATATTTAAGTCTTTAATCCATTTTGACTTGATTTCTGTATGTGGTGTGGGATAAGGACCCAATTTCATTCTTCTGCATGTGGATATGCAGTTGTCCCATCATCATTTAGTAAAGACACTAATCATTTCTCCCTGGTGTGTTCTTGGCAGGTTTATCAAATATCAGTACACCATACGTGTGGGGATTTATTTCTGGGCTCTCTAATCTGTTTCGGTTGTCTCTATGTCTACTTTTATGCCATCATAGTACAGTTTTAATTACTGTAGCTTTGTAATATATCTTGGGATCAGGCAACATGAGACTTCCAGCTTTGTTCTTCTTGCTCAAGATGGTTTTCGCTCTTTGGAGTCTTGTGGTTCCATACGAATTTTAGGACTGCTTTTTCTTTCTCTTTAAAGAATGTCATTGGGGTTTTGATAGGGGTCACATTGATCTATAGATCACTTTGGGTAGTATGGACATTTTAACACTATTAATCCTTTCAGTCCATTAACACAGGGTGTCTTTCCCTTTATTTGTGTCTTTTTTTCATTTTCCTCATCAATGTCTTGTAACATTGAACTTACAAGCCTTCCACCTCCTTGGTTAAGTGTATTCCTAGGTACTTTACTCTTTTTGTTGCCATTGTAAATGAGATTTTTTTTCCTTAACTTCTGTTTCAGCTATGTCATTGTTACTGTGTGGAAATGCCACTGATTTGTGTATGTTGATTTTGTATCCTGTAACTTTACTAAGTGTATTAGTTTCAATATATTTTTTTTGTTTAGTCTTAGGGTTTTCTACGTATATGATCATATCATCTGCAAACAGAGATCATCTTACTTCTTTCTTTCCGATTTGAATAACTTTATTTCTTTTTCTTGTCTAATTGCTCTGGCTAGGACTTCAGGTACTATGTTAAATAGGAGTGGTGAGAGTGGGCATCCTTGTCTTGTACAGGATCTTAGAGGAAACACTTTCAGTTTTTCTCCATTGAGTATGACATTAGCTGTGGGATTTTCATATTTGGCCTTCATTGTGCTGAAGTAAATCCTTTATATTCCTATTTTGTTGAGAGTTTTTATCCTGAATTGATGTTGAATTTTGTCAAACACTTTTTCTGCATCTATTGAGATGATTATGTGGTTTATCTCTTTCACTCTGTTAATGTGGTGCATCGCGTTGATTGATTTGCATATGTTGAATCATTCTTACATCCAAGGGATAAATTTGACTTTTGACGTGCTGTTGGATATGGTTTGCTAACATTTTGTTGGGGATTTTTACATCTATGCTTATTAGGGATATTGGCCTGTAATTTTCTTTTCTTGCGTCTTTGTCTGGCTTTGGTATCTTCTGTTTTTGAGAAGAGTTTGAGAAGAATTGGTATTGATTCTTCTTTGAACCATGAAGCCATCCGGTCCATCCCTCTTTAAACTCCATGTACAAATTATTTTGTTTCTGTCTCTTCCCAGGTGGGGAGGGCACAGCTGCCCAGAACTTCTCCTGTCTTATATACAATGCGGATTTCATGAACTGCACCTGGGCCAAGGGCCAAGCAGCGCCCAATGACGTTCAATATTTTTTGTATATAAGAGACTCAAAGTAAGTGTTGACCTCATGTAGACAACCCTGAGAAATAACAGTGAAGAAAGAAATATGGCCTGATTGTTCTCTGAACACTTTGGAATCTTACAGGAAAAAAATCGAAAGAGAATGTCCTCATTACCTACAAGACTCGGGAACCCATGTGGGATGTCACCTCCAAGACCTCTCGGGATTAACTTCGTACAGTTACTTCCTGGTTAACGGCACCAGCCAAGAAACAGGAATCCAGTTCTTCGATTCGGTTTTGCTGTTAAAAGAAATAGGTGAGAGCAACCACCTGTGATTTAACCACTGCCTAGTAGGTCTGACAGAATTTGCGTTGAAATCTGCATAAGTTTCCTGTTGATGCTGTAACAAATGACCACCAACTGGGAGGCTTAAAACAATGGAAATGTATATCCTCTTGCAGTTCTGGAGGCCAGAAATCCAAAATCAAGGCATTGGCAGGGTTGGTTCCTTCTGGACTGTCTGAAAGAACTTCTCCTCCCATCCCTCTTTCTTAGCTTCTGGTGATGGTCAGGAGTCCTTGGCTTATGGATGCATCATTTCAATCTCTGTCCACATGTCCATCTTCCTGGTGTATCACAAATCTCCCTTCCTTCCTTTTATACAGAGACCAGTCATTGGATTTAGAGCTCATCTAATCCAGAATGACCTCATCTCAGGATCTTTAATTACTCAATCAAACATGTCCACAAATTAGAGAGACAGCCACCCGAGAAGAGCAGGCATGGTAGCTCCACACCCTTTGCCCATGCCTTGCCCTATGCATCTCTTCTGTCTGGCTGCTCCTGAGTTATGTCCCTTTATCGTAAAACCGTGATCTAGTAAGTAAAATGTTTCCTGAGTTCTGTGAGCTTCTCTTGCAAATTAATCAGACCCACGGAGGAGGTCAGGGGAATCTTTGATCTATAGCAGGTCAGTTGGAAGCACAGGTGATGACCTGGACTTAGGATTGACATCTGAAGTGGGAGGGCTGAGCCCTTCACCTGTGGAATCTGACGCTACCTCCAGGTAGATAGTGTCAGAATTGAGTTGAATTGTAGGGCACCCAGCTGGTGTCAGAGAATTGCTTGGTGGTGTTGAGGGTCGGAGGGAAGTCCCACACGTTAGAACTGGGTGCAGAATCCTAAGTCCAGATCACAACAGTAGGCCAGAGGAGTTGTATCCCTTACTTTGTTCTGAGCTGGAAAATCCAGTGTAAGTATCCTAGGGATAGAGCATCTCATCTCTAAAGTTAAAGACGATCAGATCTACTCGATGTGGAAGTGGAGCCCATGAGATTCACAGTCACAAGAGAAGCTTCACACAGCCAAGCTGTCCAAACAGACCTTCAAAGGTTCCAACAACGGAATTGAGTCTCAGCTTTTAGAATGGAACAGACGCCCATCAAAATGCAGTCAGATACAGAACTCCCATCCTGTTGATTGCTGACATTCACCGTCATGGGGTCACCGTTTGGACATCTGTTCAATGATGAAGGACACTGAAGTTCCTTGACCCTTTCAGACATGCATCAACTCCCCCATTTGGAAACCATGACTTTGCTAGCTCCATGTGGACCCGATTCCTCCAAGCCCCCATCTTTCCCTCCTTCCCTCCCTTTGGGTAACCTGCTACAAGGACAAGTGTACACCCAGTTGAACCTACCCAGATGCCACCTCCTCTTTCTCTCCTTAGAATCTGACAGTCCAAGCCCCTCCACCCATCCTGGACCACTGTGAATTCACTTCTTCTTCTATTTTTTTGCCAGCTCTTCCTCTTCTTTCTCGCTCTCTGCTCCAGGCTGGTCTCTTGAAGATACTCCCGTGTGCCAAACAATGTCTTCTCTTGAACGCCAGCCCCTCTTTCTACCTGCAGGCTCCCTGATCCCATAGGATAGTCCAGGCCTCTTAAGGCTAAAGTCATCTCAAACTAGCCTCTCTCCTGCCCTCCAAACCCATCACCACCTACCTCCCCAGGTCTTCTTTTTCTTAAATTTTATTTATTTTTGGCTGTGTTGGGCCTTCGTTGCTGCGCGCGGGCTTTCTCTAGTTGCGAGGGCTACTCTTTGTTATGGCGCATGGGCTTCTCATTGCGGTGGCTTCTCTCGTTGTGGAACACGGGCTCTAGGCACACGGGCTTCAGTAGTTGTGGCTCACAGGCTCTAGAGCACAGGCTCAGTAATTGTGGCTCACGGGCTTAGTTGCTCTGTGGCATGTGGGATCTTCCCAGACCAGGGCTCGAACCCGTGTCCCCTGCATCAGCAGGTGGATTCTTAACCACTGTGCCACCAGGGAAGTCTCCCCAGGTCTTCTTGAACCCAAACTTCCCCCCTTCTGCACATGGCGGCCTGATGATTGATCACCTTCCCCAAGAGCCAACACTCAGACCCACCCCTGCCTCCCGGTGACCTTGGTGAGCTACCATCAATGTTGGGAAGGCAGAACTGGGTCTCCTCTCTGTGGTCCAGGGGAGGCATTCTGGATTAGAGGTGTCTGCTGGGTTCTCATTACAGAGCAATACAACCCACCCAACAATATCACCGTGCACTGCAACGAATCACAATGCCTCATCCGGTGGGAGAAGCCCAGGACCCGAAAAACACTGTCCATCAGGGAGTTCCAGTACCAGCTGGACATCCAGAGACAGGTGAGTGGACACTGCTCCAAGCAGGGCACCATGCCTCAAGAACCTTGGCAGCCACCCCCATGACCCACCGTGAGAACCTGGGGCACATGAGGTGGGCTCAGAATGGGTGAACATCTGGGAAAATTCAGGGTCTGCTCCAAGCCCACCTGGACCCAGTGTAGACAAGGAGGAACCCTCTCCCTATGTCCACCTGGACCCAGTGCAGACAAGGAGGAACCTCTGCTCCAAGCCCACCTGAATTCTTATTAGGATCCATATCCAGCTGAGGTTCTAGAAGGAGCCATGAACAGGGGCACCCTCCCTCCTGTGGGCATGTTCCATCCTTCTATGTGGGGGCCACTGCAGGTTAGGGGGGACAGAAGGCACTCAACCCTTTGTTGGGCCTTGACTGTTTCAGTTTTTCCTGACTGCGCTCAAAGGGGGAGATTGGATGAGACCTATGAAAAACCTTCAAAATGGAGAGAAATAAACATTCTATTTTGGTTTGGGTTTTTTTTTTTCCTAGAGTAATACCGGAAGCAGTAGAAATCAACTGGTGAGTTACAACTCTGACCCAAAATATCACCCTTGTAGCTTAAGCGTACAATGTTGGGCAATGGACACATGCCAACTGCAAACTTGGTCCAGCGGTGGACAGGATGGGGGCGGGGTAAAAACCAGAGGATGGAGGTTTCCTAGAGTACCATCCAGTCAGTGATATAAGGGCACCCCCCAGTAGCCCCCTGGATGGGGTCTCCCTCTTCTATCCATGTTGGTCAAGGAAATATTCCTTGGAGTGTCAAGGAGATGATGTCTCCTTCCAAAATTCCTCTCGAGGTTGATCATCAAAGTACTTTTTGTTGATCTTTTCTAAGTTTCACCACCACTCTGACCTCAGTATCCTCCTCTGTCCGATGAGGAAGTCGAACTTGGTCCTCTTAACATCCTTTACAGGGGCATTATCCATCCATGGGTTGGTTCATACCCACTGTAGGTCTTGAATCATTTCTGCATCTATACTTATGATCCTAGCAACCCCAGGAGTGGTTACTCGGAAAATGGCAGAATCACTCATTGTCATTATTCCGTTAAGCATTCCTCCCAAGTTCTCAGGATGTAAAGTACCACATTCATGCCCAGATTGGGAGAGTGTGGCTTTGAATCTTTCACTTCAGTTGGGCAACTGAAAAGACACCCGAACTCTGTTTCTCAACACAGGCAACAACTCTGTCTAACTTTCTGTTTTCTCCAAAGATTGTGGTGTCTGGTGACTCGGGGAATAAATACAGCTTTCCAAGACCGGGGTTCAGAGCCAAACATACTGTGAAGATCAGGACAGCAGATGCCCGGAAAGCCCACTGGGGTGCCTGGAGTCAGCCAGCTGAGTTTGGTACGTGTCCCAAGATCATCACCGGACAGATCCTGGCATCCTGAATTCATCTCTGAGCCATTCTGGGAGGGGTTCCTGTCCACCGGCCCCTCCAACACTGTTCCCCTGGCAACAGCAAGGGCTCCTGAGAGGGACCCTTTAAGGATAACTAAGAGCCTTCCTAAGCCTCCGCCCCACCAGGAAATGACCTATCCCTCCTGGTCACGCCAAACAGCCGTCAGGGTCCACCTCTGGTCAGGATGCAGCTCACATCCAAACTGGCTCTGTTTCTTTGTAATCGGGCGAGGGCTAACCTGACAGATTTTTTTTTTTTTGCGGCACGCGAGCCTCTCACTGTTTTGGTCTCTCCCCTTGCGGAGCACAGGCTCTGGACGCGCAGGCTCAGCGGCCACGGCTCACGGGCCCAGCCGCTCCGCGGCACGTGGGATCCTCCCGGACCAGGGCACGAACCCGCGTCCCCCGCATCGGCAGGCGGACTCTCAACCGCTGCGCCACCAGGGAAGCCCTAGCCTGACAGATTTTACTACCCTCCTCCTTCTAACTTTGATCAGCTGCCAAGAATATAATGGTTTGGCCCTAAAGCCAATCTGATACTTTAAGAGTCTACCTTCCCTTCCATCCAGGCTCAAACACCTTCAGTGTTTTAGCAAGCATAGTATGCATACGTTTTTGTTGTTGTTGTTGTTGTTGTTGTTTCTGACCCAAGATCAATGCCTTTGATACCTGCCGGTGTAGAATTTATGAAATGAAATAAGGATTCAGCAATATTTCATAAGCTGGAAGGGACAGCTGAGTATTTTTGTTGTTGTTGTTGTTGTTGTTGTTTCTGACCCAAGATCAATGCCTTTGATACCTGCCGGTGTAGAATTTATGAAATGAAATAAGGATTCAGCAATATTTCATAAGCTGGAAGGGACAGCTGAGTACAGTAAGGAATTGATTTGCCGTCTTGCATTTGTCAGTGGGTTCTTAGCCGTGACACCAAAAGCAGGAATT